TTTTTTAAAAAAATAGCAATGAGGTATTAAATGTCTCTTAACCCTACTCTAGCAAGATCTAAAGTGAATAATTGAAGAAATTCATCCATGAAATGTTGACAGAGAGAAAGAAGAGAAACTTTAAAGAGACTACAGAGTTGTAAATCTAATTGAGAGATTACGATGTCTAGAAAGACAAGCGTTTCTAAGGCTCAACACGTTTGTTACATGCCCCTTACCCTAACATCAAAATCGGTGTTATTGGTAATTTAACTCATTGCGGTACGATTTACCTCTCATCGATTCAGATCAGGCCAAGGCCCTCGGTCTCACCGCGATCGATTAAGAAGGCCTGAAGAAGTTCAACAAAGAGAAGAAACCAATTAAAAAGTGGTGCAAACCTTTTGACATCTTGATTGCCTCAGAATCCCTTATGAAAGTTATTCCAAGACTTGTTGGTAATGTCTTTACCAAGATTGGTAAATTCCCAATTGCCATTCCTGAAACAGAATCAGTTAGCAGCAAAGTTAATGAAGTAAAGTCTTCAGTCAAGTATCTTTTTTAAAAAATCAATTCAGATTCCAATTGAAAAACACATTGTCACTTGGTACAGCTTTTGGTACTGATGAAATGACAGAAGATTAACTCAGATAAAACTTGAGTACAACCATTAACTTCTTGGTGTCTCTTTTGAAAAAGGGATGGTAGAATGTTGGTACACTCCACATTAAGACCTCCATGGGTAAACCAATTAAAATCTATGGATGATATTTTCAGAAATTCGTACATTAAACAATAATATTTTCTACACAATATATATATATAACGAATGAAAGTAAGTGAATATCTTCACTTATATAAAGACAATAGAAAGATGAGAGATTTTTCTGAATATGCAAATGTTCTTAGTCTTACATCAAAGAGTAAGAAGGAAAATATTACTTTTACTACAAGTGATTCATAATGTACAATTTCTAAATCAACCAATATTCGATAATAATCTCCTAATAAATATGCTAGTATAGCAGCTTAAAGAAAAAAGTTATCAGTTGGAAGAAGATTAAAGACTTCTAATGAAGATGATTGGGAATAATATGCAGCGGGATAAGTTTAATTTTTATAACAACATGTTAAAAACCCTATTGCAATAGTAAATCTAAACATAAATGATAATGGAATCCATACTAAAAATAGAATATACTTATATTAAGATTCTAACATAGAATAAATAATCACTAACATTAGTAAATAATACAAATTATCTGAGAAAAAGAAATATGAAATTCGTTAAGAATTATTAAGTTGTTTTATTTGATTACAATTAATTATACTATATAGTATTATTATTTGAATTTCTTTGGTGAAGTATATTTGTATACTCTATATTAATTTATATAGAGTCAAATCTAATTTTTAAACTAGTATTTCCATATATTTATTATCATAATATTTATTTATTTAATCCATTAAACTCTATCAAAAATGGCTCAAAATTTCAAAGAGATAAAAATTACTTATTAGAATTAAACTCAAATATAAAAATTAGCTTAGAAGGATAATTTTTATTAGAAAATTGGATAAATATTAAAGACTGACTCTGATGAATTGGTCATAATAATTAATAATGATTATGATTAGATGGTTCCAAGAAGTTACTAATGTAGTCAATTAAATAGTGGTGATGATTATTATGCTTACAATATTAAAAATTTATTGAAGGAAAATGCTCTAACTTGTTAATAAATTTCATCAAATAATAAGGAGAAAAATGTTGTTTTATCAATTCAAACAACTTATAGTTAAGAAATTACATAGGAAGGAGATTATGATTATTCAATTTTAGAATCTGTTACAAAAGAAATAAAATAACAATGTTATTTATGCAAAGCTAATATCAATGGCTATACTATTTAAACATCATGTTATCATCATTACCATTCTTAATGTTTAAAATAATCTATCATATAATAAATAGATAACAATGGTTTAATATTAATTTGTGATTGTAAATAAAAAATAAAAGTTCCATCAGTTGTTAACTAAATATAAGATCTAAATGATAAAATTAGTTCACTTTTCAAAAATTAAATCAAAAATATTTATAAAAATTATCAAAATAAAATAAAAAAATGCCAAAAAAAAAATGATTGCGATTTCATATATATTGAGAAAGATGATTAAAGTGTGTCTTACTGTGAAAATTGCGATAAAAAAGAATTAAATCAAATAACAACATAATGATTTTCATTTAAACAAATCAATCATAATGAATTGATAGAAATAAATATAAAATTAAATCATTGATTTAAATATTGATTATGTTAATTCTCTTCATTTATAAGCAACTTTTTTAAGATATTTTTTATTTCTTCTAAACTAAGACACTCTCTATTTGCTACATATTAACTAAGATATTCTAGTGCTATACAAGTATGATAACCACATGAATAGTGATCTTACTATTTATTCCATGTAGGACAAACAAAAATAACAAATTAAACAATCTATTAGGATAGTTTTGAAAATAATGATGACAATAAATTATTTAGTGAATTGTAATAATTTGGATGTTTAGGTAAAGAGTCATATATTTTCAAACATCCATCTTTGAAGTCTATAACTGCTAAATACCAATGAATATTTTTTGAATTAACAATAAAGGCTATTTTTTAGTAAATTAACCAAAATTAATACTAAATTACTTTAAAGTCTTACAAATATTGCAAAATTAAATAAAATGCTTTTTCATTATTTTTATGATATAATTCTAAATTACAATTAGTTAAAAAATCAGAATTAAAAATAAACAATCGTTTATGCTTAATTCTTTCATCCTTATTAAGTGAAAAATAATAGTGTTCATCCTTAGCTTGAAGATAATTTGAATAAGCATTAATAATTGAACTTGTTAAGAATAAATTTGATTTTAATAATATATCCTTATCATTTAATCCAATCTATTAATTATATTTAATAATTGGATAGCTTTATTCAGAAATAGACAATTTTCTATTTTCATTATTATCTAATGAGTTTTAATAATCTTCTTCAAGCCTTTAATTTTTTTTACTTTATTGTTTTATACCATCCTCAAATAGTATTAGTTTAAATCTTTTTAATTTCATTTTTAAATTACCTTTTTTATCAATAATTTAATCAAAATTTTTCTACTTGCTAGTCTTCAAGTTTTTATTTATTTAATTAGATGATTATTATATTTATTTTTTTATTAGCTATTCATTTTATGGTTATTATTCCCCAGTATTTTAAGTAGTTTAATTTTCATTTTATTTACTATTTATTAATTGTTAACTGGAAGTATTAATTTAACCATTAGAAAGTATTTATTAGTTTTAATCTCTTTTATTTTCAAAGTTGTTACTTCTATCGATTTATTCTTTTATTTAAATGAGTGAATTTTTTGTTTATATTTGCTTGAAATTTTCACTTTTTTATTCTTAAATATTCTCAATTTCTGTCTAACATGCAAAATCAAATTTTTCTTTCTTACTATACATAAGTTATTCTTTATTTGAACCTTAAATTTCTATATCAATATGATTAAGTTTTAATTCTTCCAATTCCTAATCTTTTGGTAATGCAAATTTTTTATATTCTTCTTGAATAAATTATTAATAGTCCTATTCTTAATGAATTGTTTAAATCTTAAATTTATCTTTAGCTATCCCACAAGTATTATTTGTTTCTTAATTCTTTAAATAAAACAAAAATTTACCTTCCTACTAATTGTTTCTTTATTTATTCTTTAAATATAATCATAATATTCCTATTCGTTCTTAAATTCACTCGCTTCAATTTTTATTTACTTACTCATTTATTATTGAATGGGTTGACTCATTTTTATTTCTTAAATATTATATAATATACTTAAAAATTAATTGCAATTGAAAACTATTTTATTTCTATTAAAAAGACATTAAGATCTATAAATTTAATCTAATAACAAATTAAATTTCATCTAATTCAATCTATAAAATAAATATTTATTTATAAGAATTATTATGCTTTAATTAAATGATTTATTATTTCCCCTTTGTAAATAAGCAAATTTTGTATAATACTTAAATTATAGTTATATATAATAATATATAAATCTTTAATTATAATGAAATTTATATATATCCTAATGAAAAAGCTCATTTAATTATCTTTTATTTAATTTAATTTCCCAAATCCTTTAAAATTACAAGATGATTAATTATTGAAATTTTGTTGATCTATTATAAATGGGAGACAAAAATTAGAATAAAATTAATTAGCATTTAAAATCTAAATGTTAAATAATTTATTCTATTTTTATAAATTGTCATTAGAGTAAAAATAGATAGAATAAATGTCTTTTTCATAAAAACATTAAATTATGGTTAATGACATATAAAAATTCTCTAATTCTAAAAGTTATAGATTACTGAATAAAGTAGATCTTTGATAAAATTTATTTATAGTTCTTAACGGTAGATACTATTATTAAGCAGAAAAAGTTAAATATCTTCTAGATAGATTTGAATTCATTTCAGAATTTTCTCACTATAAAGGACTATAATAATAGAGAGATTATAATAATAAGGACTTGGATGGAAAATGAATTATAGCATATATAAATTAGAATCAGAGAAAAACAGAATGAATTAACACTGTATAATATACAATAAATTAATCGAATATAATATTGATATTATTTAATATGAACAAACTTAATGAACTTTTAATTGATTAAGAGGAGAGATAATCTAACTTTATTACTTAATACTGTAAACCTCTGAGAATTCTAGGGAAGGGAGCCTTTTCTACAGTAGTTGAGATATAGAATTTGATGACAAATAAGAAGGCAGCACTCAAAATTATTGAGAAGTAACATTTCAATACTTTATAATTGGATGTTTTAAGAAAGGAAGCTTAATTGTTAAATTAATTGAATCATTAAAATATTGTAAGAGTTACATTTGTATGATTGCTTTGTGTTATTGTAGAGTAAAGAAACCAAAAATAAATTATTTATAATGATGGATCTCATAACAGGAGTTACATTAGAATAATTTGAATAAAATAAGTTAGATGATTAGATTGTACATAGCATAGTGAAACAACTATTATAGGCAATCAAATATTTGCATTCTAAGGATATTATACATAGAGACATTAAACCAGGTATAAGGAATAAATTTTATTTTAGAGAATATTATGATTTCTCAAATGGGAGATGATGTTAAAGTAACTTTAATTGATTTTGGACTCTCAGCTTAATTAACATATTTAGAAGGATCAGGTATAATGAGTGACAATTGTGGAACTTTCTTATATATGGCTCCTGAAATGATATAGAAAAAGAAATATAACAGAGTATGATAATATTCTTATATAGTAAGAGTGTTGATATATGGGCTATGGGTATAGTAGTATTCAATCTTTTAACTTAAGGGAAACATCCATTTTATTAATAATTTGATGACAAAGAATCTTATTGTGAAAAGATTTAATGGATGAAATGGAATTGGTAACCAGGAATGAATAATAATTCAATTAATTTCTTAATTAGAACAGTAGCATTCTTGCCTGAAAATCGTTTGAATATTAATTAATGTTTAGAGCATCCTTGGATTACAGGCAAATAAGATTCTTCTGAACCTTTTACCTTTATAGAAATACTCTAAAGTCATTGTAACTTTTAAAAGATTAAGTCTTTAATTTAGGCACTTCAATTTCTCTAATAACTAAAAGTTTTATGTCCTAATGCTAATTAATTCAAACATTATTCAACACCAATAGCCAAAGAACCTATTAGAACCATAAAGATACCAAAAATAAAATAATAATCTATTTCTCACACTAATGAGAAACTTAAATAAGTAAAGTAGGAAGCATTCTAAGGATCTAATGTTGATACTGCTTCTATTGGTTCAAATAGAGTTTCTTAATTCAAAATTTAAACTATTACTTTGAAATCTTAAAGAAGAGAAAGAGCTTCATGTGATTAATTGTAAAAGATTTAATAGCAAAAAGAACCTTAAAAATTTTTATTTCCTCATTTTCCTAGATCATTAGAAAGAAGTGTTAAGTCTATTCAAACTACTAATACAACAGCTGATAATTCTTTAAATTAATCATCTATTCTTCAAAAATCTGGTATAATTGATAATAGACAATCCTAAAATAGTAAGTAGACACTTCAATAAGTAAAATTTCATTTATATATTTTATTAGTTAAAGAGAACAACTCACGTATCAAGAGGATAGAATATCATAATATAATAAGAGTTATTACCTAGTCATAGGATAAGAACAAACAAACCTCCAATATAGAAAAAGTCTTTAAATGAATGAGTAAAAATATATATATACTGTATATATTTCATAATTTTTGATTTTATCATTTAATTATAATGTCTTAAATTTAATAACTTAAACAAGTTATGATTTTTGAAAATGATTACTCGCCTGAATTGAATAGATATGAACCAAAATAAATATTAGGGAAAGGAGCTTTTGCAACAGTTATTTCAGCTTTTGATAAGTAAATGAAAACTAATGTTGCAATTAAAATTGTTGAGAAAAATATGTTTAAATGTAAGGAATAAGAAGGTGCTATACGTCAGGAAGCAATCACCCTTTAAACTTTGTTCCATTAAAATATTATTAAGATTCAAGATGTATGATAATTATCTAATAACTTAACTTAAGTTTTTTGAGACATAGCATAAATTTTACATTGTTATGAATCAGATTAATGGTATAACTTTGGAAGATTACATACCACAATTAGAGCGTTATGAAGTGATTATAATTACTAAATAAATTTTGAAGGCTTTGAGTTATTTACATAAAAACAATATTGTTCATAGAGACATAAAACCTGAAAATATTTTAATAAGTGTGTTAGAAGGAGAATTGATTGTTACATTAATAGATTTTGGTTTATCAGCCTCAGTCAATAGAGTAGAAGATGGTTTGATGAAATAAAATTGTGGAACCTTATTGTATTAAGCACCTGAGGTTATTAAAAAATCAAATTATACTAGAGTACATATACATAAATAATATTTAGTCAGTTGACATTTGGGCTTTAGGAATTGTAGTTTACAATATGTTATATAATGGAAAGCATCCTTTCTATTAAAATGGTGATACTAAAATAACATATTCTTAAAAAATTAAGACATTTTCACTGAACTCTTTAATGAATGAGGATTTAAACACTAAAAATTTCTTAGAGAGAACTATAGCTTATTTACCAGAACATCGTTTAACTGCTGATTAATGTCTAGAACATCCTTGGATTACAGGTAAGGGTGATATTTCAATACCATTCACATTGAATGAAATAATTTAATATCAAATTTAAAAAGAATAAAAAATAGCCAAGTATATTAAAATACTTGTATTTTTGAAATATTTGGTAGTTGTATCAAATGATGTTCTTGGAAGAACTGATGAAATTAATGAGGCTGGATCACCTAATGATAATGTATCTGTTATAGGATCTGATATATCAGCATGTTCAAATAAGTTTAGAATTCGTCCCTTAATTATGAAATCTTAGACAAGATTAAATAAAATATGGAATAATGATAGTACTAGTAACTCTTTTGCTGGAGATAGTAGTAGAAATACAACAGATATGATTCCAGAAATAATTGCACGTGTTGGTACACCTAATTTTTTGAAAAAACAATTAAGAAAAAGTAATTCAATGAATCCAGAAGAAATGAAAAAACAATTAAAAATAATCAATACTTAAAAGGGTCCTTAAAAGGTATTTATTTCAAAGCCTATATTTATAAGGAGATTCAAATGAAAAATAGAAGAGTAATTTCGAATTCGCATAAAAGTAGTTGTAAGTTGGTTACGGAGCCATAGAGTTAAAGATAAAATGGAGATAGTTAAAATAAGATTGCAGACTCTCCTTTGGCTAACAGATTTCGTCATTTTTAAAGGTCTAATTTCTCTAAAAAACCTGCATAATTGTGAGTTTTATTATTATTTATATTATGCTTAAAATTTTCAGATAGGCTAATTTATTTAAGCCTTAATTCATGAGAAGATATGATTAGGCTAATTCTCCTTTGCATATAGCTATTGGAGATACATCTGAATTGAGAACAAAACTATTTCCAGAGAAGAGGAGAATTCCAGGAAGAAAAGGCAAAATAATCTTAGCAATAGGTGTTTTATTCTAAGTTTGGGGCATAATGCATATAGTGGAAGTGAGAAGACAATTCAAGTATAATTGAATAGTTAAATAAATTAGACGCAAAGAATTAGAATTGAAAAAAATGCAAAGGAAATCTTTACCATTTTATTAAGCCATGCAAGATATCAGATATTTAGCTGCAGAAGATAAAAGAAATATATTGATTGAAGAATTGTTTGCTGAACATGGATCTGATTATATTAAGTAGATTACAGATATCTATTTCTAAAAAGATGTGTGGTATGATTATCAATTAAGAACATAGGGTTCCATTTAAGAAGAGAGCTGCTCATCAATATACTAGAGCAACCAAAGATCCTTATCCATATTTCGATATTCCAGGATCACGTTTCTTACATGGTTACGACGTATACAACATTTGATTTAAATCATAAATATTAAATAAATAAACAAAATGTTAAGAATAATCATTACATCATTGTTCATATCATCTGTGATCTCTGTTACTAAACCAACTATAGGAATTCTAACAAATCCATCTGATTTGAAAGACTATGATAAGTCTCTCTACTCCTATTTCCCTTCCAGTTATGTGAAATGGATTGAATAGGCTGGAGCTAGAGTAATTCCAATTCATTGGGATAGTTCTTATGATGAAATTACATTCATATTAAATTAGATTAATGGAGTTCTATTTACTGGAGGAGATGTGGACTTGTATTTAAATAATACATAACCAGGATTCACTTTTAATAAATTTACTGATACTGCATCTTTTATATTTTAAAAAGTTATTCAATTTAATAAGGCTGGTAAATTCTATCCTTTACTTGGAATATGTTAGGGTTTTCAATTAATTAATTATATTGCTTCATCCTATTATGAAGTATTGACTAGAATGACTGATGATTTGGGTAAGTAAAGATTACTTGAAATTGTTCCTGAAGAAGATTCATTTGTTTTAAAATCCATAGATAAACCCATTTTGGATTATCTGAAGAATGTTGGTAATTGTACATTATTAATATCATAGATGGTCCATACTATTCTCACAATTGGGGAGTTGTATAACAAACTTATGAAAAAGCTTACTCTTTGGGAGCATTCTTTAAAATCACAGCTTATAGTAGAGATGGAGTGAATTAAAAGTATATTGCCATTTGTGAAGGCAGAGAAGTACCTATTTATGGATATCAATTCCATCCTGAAAAGCATCAATATGAATGGATTACTAAAGCAACTCATGATGTCCAACATATTACATATTCTTAACAATTAGCCATGGATTTCATTGGAATGGCTAGAAAGAATGATAACTCCATCTCTGATGAAGAGTTAGCTTAACTTATCATTTACAATTATAAATAAATTAATAGAATGGACATTCCAAATACAAGTTTTTCATAAGTCTACTTATTCGATAGAAATCGTAATGAAACCAAATCAGATCAACAATAATTAGGGATATATTAAACTATAAAATATTTTAGAAAACGTTATTGAATGTTGAGTTTTCTATGTGTAACAAAAAAATAAATAATATAACATTTTCTAAATATTATAAAATAATTTCACTTTTATATAACAATTTAATTAGAATACATTTTCTAAATAAATAAGATTTCAACATTCATTAATTGAATTTGAATATGAAATTCTAGGATATTTACTTGGATTCATTATAAAATGCATATATATATATATAAATCTTAAAATTTAAATATTGTATATTTCTTATCATAAAATATTACATTATTAACATAATCATTAAATTTAAATAAATATATAATCATAATGTGTCTTATGTAAAATAACTATTATCAGCAATTTTAAATGGCTGAGCCATCTATCTAAAAAAATCTCGAACTACAGTGATAGCAGATTCACTAGTAATATTTAAACATCTAGATTAATCTAATTATTTATAAATCCATCTTGGCATTTTTTATAATTTACTTTTTTAAGCAAATCTTTTATCAGCCATAATCATTATTCCATAATCTTGTTTACCTCTAAGTACTCTACCTAAACATTAACATGTTTATCTCATTGCATCAAATTCTATAAAATCATTTTTTGTTATTTTAAATTTCTCTTCTAAAAATTTACATCTTTCTAAAATCAATGCGTCTTTACTGTTTAATGCTGGAAATCCAATTACAGCAACACATCTTCCATAATGACCTTCAAAATCTATACCTTCTGCAATTTTACCTCTTGCAATTGAAAATAATGCTGCTCCTCTTCCTACATCACAACATTTACGATATTATTATAATTTTGAAGATGTCTCATTAACATCCTTTGATTCTATAAATAATACTTTATTTTTTGAAATTTATTCCAAATATTTATCCTTTTACCATTATCTTGCCCATTCCTCCATTCTACTATAAGATGGCATAAAGACAATTAGTCCATCAGGTACATTTTCAGATAATTCTAGTAAAAAATTACCATAATTTCTAGAAACATCTTCATTATTCCTTAAAGTAAATTCTGATGTTAATTCAGTTCCATCTTCTGACATAGTTACAATAATTGGTTGAATAGAATTACGAGTTAATTCAATATCAATAGATTTAGCAACAACTGGTTTAAAATCTAACATTTTTGGATAAATTTCAATTGGTGACATTGTACCTGATGTTAGAATGACAGATTAAAAAGTAGTAAAGATATTTTTCATTGCTAATGAACTATCAAAACAAGCTAAAGTCATTAATTTTTCATTTAAGGTTCCTTCGTAATTATTTGATTAAAATATAACTTTAAATCCTTCTTAATATTATACTAAGAACATAACAAATTATGCAACAGTACTAAGTGGTCTAAATTTATCAGTTTCTGCAATTTACAATGTATTTAATAATAGATTAAGTCTTTCTCCACATTATTTTAGAGAATCAATATCTAGATTTCCCTCTTTTTATATATCTTCAGTAAAACTTTTAGTATTATGTAAAATAGCATGAGATGTTTTTAATGCTTCTGAATTATCTTTTAATTTCTTTCTAAGTGAATTAATAACTCTTTTCATAAAATCAATGAAATTTCTTGCTTTTCTAATTTATCCAGGAATAACTAATTGATTTAATTCTCCTTCAGGTTTATTTTCTAAATTTTTAATTAATTTCTTATATTCTTCATTCAATCTATTTTATATTTCATTTGTTTCACTCTAAATTTATGTCTCTACAATTTTAAGATTATTGATTGCTTCAGCCAAAATGGGTTTATTCAATCTCACAGTATATGCTTCAATACAAACATCATCTATGTTATGTGCCTCATCAAACACAACTACACTCTCTTTGATTTAATCTTTAGACAATAATGAAGATATTCCTGGATCAATCAAATATAGATAATTATAAACAACAATATTAGCCTTCTTAACCATTTCTCTAGCAGTAAAATAAGGACATTATATTGAAAAAGCTCCATTTTTACGTAAATCATTTAAACTATAAACATCATTAGGTAGATTAGCTATAACATCTTTTGATGACTTTTCAAAATTCTCATAAAATATACATGTTTCACTTTAACCTTTTTTAACCCATTCAGCTGTTCTTTTTCTGCATTCAGCATCAACTCTATCTTTTTAATTAACAACATCTGGATTAATACATAAATTTCTTCTTGAACTCAATCCGACTGCTGTAAAATTATCTACTAGACCTTCAGCTTTTCTTGCCTTCAAAACTAATCTGACTTCTTCTAATGTTTTTTCCATTTCTACTACTGTACGTGTACAATAAATTAATTTTTTTATAGTATTTGGTCTTTATGCTAAATAGGCTATAATAAATGCTAGCAATGAGACTGTTTTTCCTGTTCCAGTAGGCATTTCTAATATTCCATGTCCTTTTTCATCTAGAGTTTATTTTAGTGCCTACATGTATTCTAATTATTCTTTATATAGAAATTTGTAAGGGAAAATGACTTCAATGTCATCTATTACAAATTTCATAAAAATTTTAAATATTTTTTTATTTAAAAATAAATACATTCAAATTCCTGGAGGAGGTTTTGGAAAGTATGGATTTATTGAATTATTTTCATTCCACTTTAACGGCAATTTAAGTGTACTTTACTCAAATTGAGGTAATTTGTGATGAATCTAATTCAACATAGATTCCAATCTTTGAACACTATTTTTATCTACCATTTCTTCATCAGAATCTTATGGTAAAAATATTGGATCCTTAGTGTCCCAACATTCCTAAGAGGATTGTGTATTCATAGTAATTTATGTTGGTATAGTAAATTCTACTCTCTAAAATAAATTAAAATTCTTTTGATTTGAAACTTTTCTCTATTCAACTATTTTCTCTTAATACTCAGAAATTTAATCTTCATCTAAACTTTCCCCTTGACTAAAGTGAGATGAACTCTCATCAATCTAAGATTATAAATTAGTATAAATAATAGTATTGTTATCTTTACTTATAATATCTTCTGCTATTATCATATCCTAAATGTCATCTGCTTTATCAGAAACAATATCATTTGTTTCAGATTTACTTTACAATTAAATAGAATCTTGTATTTTAAAAATTGATTAAAAATCAACTTATTCTTACAATAAGTTTCCTTCAATAGAAATTTTAAGTTCCCTAGACTTTTTTACATTGTTTCTTAGCAAACTGGCTATGTATAACATATTGAGGATTGAGATAATTATAATGAAAATATTTGGTTATTATGATATAACTACTGTTTATTAAGAGATAAGTATTTTTGGATCTTATTTAATAATCTTCTTTAAGATTTATTCATTAAATTTTTAATTTGATCTATAATTAATTAGAATTTCAGAATCTTATAAAACATCAGTTTAAATCTTTATTTTATTTCTACCAAATGAATTCAATAATTCTTTTGCTTATTATTTATGGTATTTAGAATCATAATAGAAATTCTATTTACCCATATAATCGACATGAAGAATATCAGATCTAGAATTAGTAGGAATATTAGTAGTCATAGTAAGTAAAGATATATTCTAATGTTTTATTTATTGATTTTCAACTTATAATAATTGTATTTGTTAATTAAATGTATTTCTTACATAGATATCAAATTATTATACTTTTGTAGTCATTCCTGGATCTAAAGTAAGTACAGATGGATAATAATTCACAGATCCTTTTTGTACTGAATAATTTACATTTAATTCTATGATTTCATATTAAGTTCTAAAAGTTAATTTGCTATTGGCCATTGTTTAATAATAATTTGTATTAATAATTATTTTTAATTCTATTCTTGTAAAAGGTTAAATTTCAAATGAAAATTTATGTTTCGAAGCTGATTTAATATCATTTTTATTAGACAATAAAACTCTTATTTAATTTCTTTTCTTTTCATTTTATTTATAAGAAACATCAATTCTAACTGGGTTAGGATTATAAAAAGAGAATATTTTTGTATATTATTAATAAATGCCTAGATTATTGAATTCTATTGTTGAGTGTTATCCTTATATACTACATTAACCTAATTACTTAGTTTAACACATAAGATGTTTATCATAAATAATTAACTTAATTGGAACTCTTAAAAAATAAGCTATTTCTATTGCCAACCATATTTCAAATGTTTTTGATCGAATTTCAGAGATTGTTTACTCATAAATCAAAGTACAAACTCTAGTTTTTATAGTCGTTTAATTAGATGGCAAAACTAGTTTTTCAAAATCAACTTTTAAAAGAGGAGATGAAGTGAATATATTAGTTATCATAAGTTCTTTGTTTATAAGATTTTTTAAATATACATTTTTAGTAATTCGTATTTATTGATTCATAATACTAACCTATAAAATTTATACAATCTAATATACATTCTAAGAATGATCAATTAAACCCCCTGTTAAATGAATTTCATCAATGTTCAAATATATAGCTAGATCTGAATACTAAAACGGATTTTGATTCTCTAAACTTTCAATCTCTTGTACAATTGCTTTAACCTTATTCTAACTCACAGAATCCTACAAAACCTAATTTCGAGCCTCCTTAGCTTAATGATGGTCACTCACACAAAAATGTATCCCTACACTTATGAAGGTGTATTTTCAAACCTTTAATCTGAAAGGAATCCATATTTTGTTTGCAGCTCTCAATTTGCCTACTCTCTATCAAATATAATAATAAAAATAGGAACATTAAAATTAATAATATAAATATTCTGTAAGTAATTAATGATCATTTCCATTTCTGATTAAATCTAATAGTTATACTATTAAAATGATCTTTAATAATCATAATACTATTTACAAGTAAACTAAATATCTAATTATAATGTCTCATTTATATAAAAAATAAATAACTTTCTTTTAATAATGAAGATAATTTAAAGTATATTCAATATATAAGATTATATAAAAAACATCTTAATAAAAATAAGAAATAAAAGATATAATTTATCATGTTTTTATTTGAATTAATATAAAATATTAATTTATTATTAACATATAAACGAATTTAATTAATTCAAACTTAAGAGTGTTTACATTTTTTAATACTTTTAAATAACAAATTGTTTTTAGAATTAAAATAATATTTAGGTGTATCTAAATAAGCACTTTTATTTTGAGAGGCTGTAGAATTCATATCTAACATTTCAATTTATTATTGTTATGGTAATAATTAAGGTTAGATATTGATAATAGATGAAAAATTGTATTCAGGAGTTTTTAAATAAGTTGGTGAATTTAATTCACTAGATTATTTTGATTCATATTTATCAAAAGCAATTTAATTTTATTAAATTTATCTCTCCAATACTATTGGATGTTTAAGATTTCTAATTTATCTCATTTTAACTATCAATTATAATTTCTATTTCAATATTTTCATTCTAATTTTTTTTGGATCACATATACCCTTATATATTAAATCTTATAAAGCTTAATTTCTTTTTGGTTTATTCACATTTAAATTTTAAGATAACTCTATCAATAATGGACCTGAGTTTTTCTTTAATTTATTCTTTACAAATTCTTACATTGCTACTTATTAAGTTAAAGGATTGGTTCTGTCATAATCAGTAGGTAATTTTAAATAAATCTCTTCATATCTAACCTACTCTTCCTCCTCATAAACATCCTTATATAAGATTCTATGTATCCTACATGAAGGAATAATTAATTCTAAACCAGAAACTGCCAAAGAAGCAACATTTATAGTTTAACACAACTAACTTGAATGAAATGAATAATCAATCAAAAATTACATAGTACTTAAAAGAAGAGGACTTAAATCTAATAGATTAAGCATTTCTCTATCAAGATGACTACTTTGAAAAGGAGGTTTACGATTCCTTCTTAATAATAAATACTTTTATATCCAATAGTATAATATTAATCCAATCAATCCAAATAATATTGAGATAGGTATTAAAGGAGCAAAGAATAGTGTAAGCCATGTAGTTTTACATAAGTAAGAATATTAATCATAAAATTATACTTAAGGACCTTCAAATAATTTATTAGCTTCAATTTAATTTAAATGAGTATTCTTTTCAATTCTCATCTATTTAAATTTCTTAATAATATAAAATATATTAAAATAAGCAGATAAAGGTACTAGAAGAGCATTTGCACCAGAGACATATAATATATCATCAACAATACCTCCTTATTATTAAACAGCAAAATTGAATAGTTTTGCATCTTATTTTGAATATTCATAATAAGTTCCTATTACATTAATTATAATCACTAATAAACAAGAATTGATAAATTAAACATAACTTAATTTTTCAGCCACAGAAGTATCTTATTATGTTTTAGTAACATGTCTTTCTTAATTTGCTAATAAAGTAATAAAATAATAAATGAGACCATCTACTATTGTAATAATAAGAGATTTTGACAATGAAGCCATAGTTTTCATTAGAAATTATTTGTTATCTGAATTCAATAAAAAATGATTCTAATATTAATTATATAATTAATACTTAAAAAACATTTAAACCATAAAGTGTACCTAATGATAAACCTAATAAGAATACTATTACAAACCAACTTAATATTCTTCTCTTAAGTTAAGTATTCTCATCAGTACCACAATTCTCCCAAAATACATCATCTGGTTCAGGAGCTCTAGATATTTAAATGTAATTATGTTTAAAATAAAATCCTCTTCTATCTTTTTTTTTGATTATTGATTTCAATGCTATCATAAATGCTTCCCAATAAGATAATTTAGTCTATTCTAATAAATTTTAGAGTTCTATATAATGATAAATATATATAAACATTTTTTGGTTTGAAATGTGATGAAGGCAATTGGAGTTGTTTTTTTATATGAACCATTTTCTATTTCAGCTTCTATTACTTGTTATTAGTTTGAAATTTCTTTAATTTATTTTAATAATTTCTCTTTATTACCATAGGATGTGTTTTCTAGTTATTTTTCTAATTTTAATTTTTGTCTTCCTTTATCAACAAATTAAACTATATCATATGCGATATTAATCTTTACTACTTCATATTTATTTTTTGGATCAAATTCTTTACAATATTCTTCTAAAGCTATTTTTAATTCTTTTTCATTATAATCATTCTTAGGTAAATTATTTAATATAGCTGTAAAATCAGATGGAGATAATAATTCCTTATCAATTGCATATTCTATCTTACGTTATTTCTCACGAATAAGAACCATTAAAATTTTGTAAATTATTACTGAGCAAAGAATCAATGAAGACTATATTAATTTACTTTCATCTTCAAGTTACTTATTAACAAATGATATACGAGAGGTTTGAGATTATATACAAACATCAGAGTAATGTTAGCATATATTCTTACAATCTGAAAATAAATTCTCAAAATATTAATAAGCATCATGTTTCAATGGACAATTCTATTCACATCCATTTTATTTCCATAATTTATATGCATAATTAGTAGGAGCAATACAATTATTTGCAATATAATTTTGAGAAACGTTAGGAACTGTGAAAATAAAGAATAATACAAAGTGCAACAGAATAATAAGCAACATAAGATTGAAATATAATGGAACACCTTATCCTAAAAATGCTAAATTTATGATTTCAATATTTAAAGGTAATGGCATTTTATCAATACCAAGTCCACAACATTGACAGTAATCAGAATTTTTAATATTCTAACCACAACTAGTGGCTAACTAATATAAATTAGTGTTAAAATTACTTGATGTTATAGAGCATACTGTAATTTAGGCGGTTTCTAAAGAGGATCAAATTCTAATGTTTCACCTATAAATTTTGGATAATTCATATATTTATATATAATATATAATAACACTACCATCTATGTGCAATTGTTTCAAAACGAATAATGATAAACATATCATGTTTAAGAATTTTTTCAACATTTCATTATATTGATAAATTGATAAATTTATTGAACCTTAAAAATAATTTACTTATATCTTTATTTGAATGAAGTTTGTAATATAGTTTTAACTAGATATCACTTCTTTTAATAGTGAATTAAATTTTATTTGAAATTTTTGTAATTTTTATTATAAAATATCAATTAATTTAGATGTATAGTTAAAATATATAAATTTATTTCAACCTTCATTTGATATTAGAATAGAAAACATAAATAAATCACTGTTTATAATAAAATCTTATGGTTATCATTAATATAATCAAGATTATTCTTATTACTCTTATAGTAATTCTTATCCTTCACTTTGCATAGTTTTACTTTTATGTAATCTAGCTGATTAGATAATTGAAAGCTTTCTTTTTTCCTCTTAAACAATTGATTTAACTCGAGATCCTCTTCTTTTCTCATCAATCTTAATGAATCTATCTACTCTTTTAAATTAAACCCATGCCTTACCCTCCATTAATTCATCTAACTATAAATAATATATAAAATAAATACTTCCATATTTATCTCTTCTTCTGAATAACCATTTTGTTTAACAATTTCCCAAAATGCCATCCATTCATCTTCTGTAATATCTCCACTCTTATCAAAATCTACAGCATCAAATAATGCTTCAGTATTAAGTTTAGCAAAGTTAGACTTCCTAAGTGTTTAAATGAAGGATATACCAGAACTATTCGGTTCCTTATTTGTCTATAGTTCCATTGCCTTTGATGTCTAGTTTTTTGAAGATTTCAATAGCTTTGTATCTTAGTTTCTCGCTTAAAGGTTCATCAACTTTGGTATGAGTACATCCCATGAGATTTTAATAATTATATGAAAAATAATAAAGAAGTAATCAATTTATACATTGAAGACAGATAGGATACTATAGAATGGATATGTGATGAAGTTGAAATAGAGACTCTTGATGAAGTAGTGACATACATTTTGAATGACATTAAACAAAAATATCAAACAGATCTCCTTACATTGAGAGATCAAGAGAATCAATATTATGAGATTGAATAGATAGTAGAATTCAAAAGACCTCATACATATATTACAATACCATAGAGACATAATGTGAAGACTTTGGCAAAGGTATTAAGTGGAATAAGCTAAGAATGAAGTAAGATAAAATCGTAACATATACACCATAAAAAATGACAGTATTCTATTGGAGAAGTATAAGGATGAATGTAAAGTAGAGACTGTAGATTATAAATTAATTGATATAAAAAAGGCAAATAAAAAATATGTAGATACTTTAATAGGCATTTTTGATGATTTGGTTATCCAACCAAAAAAAAGAAACTCTTTGAAGAATGAAATACCACAACCAATACAATTTTAAAATGAAATTGAATCTCCTAAATTTGGATAATCATCTAAGGAAAGTGTCTCTCCTAGTTGGATATAAAGGAAATCTTTAAGTGATAGTAATAAGAAAAATGATTTAAAGTAATGTACAATAGATGAGGTATGAGTATGCGAATGATAGTAGGTAGCCAAACATAACACAATAAATTCAGCATGGATTGTAATCAACTCTAAAGTGTATGATGTTACTACATATTTGAATAAACATCCTGGAGGACAAGAGGAAATAATGAAAGGTGTAGGAAGTGATGGTACTGCCTTATTTATGTAAAATCATCCTTGGGTTAATGCACATTATTTATTAGAATAATTTTAAGTAGGATTTCTAATAGAACATAAATGAATTATATATATATATATATATCTAAATATAACTCAAACATCTATAGGTGGCATTGTATCTCCATCAACAATATGAGATTCATGGTCTTCTCCCAATTTATGTTTGTCACATAAAATGTATTTACTTGATTACAATAATTAATCTATAAATTCAACATTCCTCTCTAAATTCTTATTATATTCAAACACTAAAGAACCTCTAAAATGCATCAATTTTAACATGTCTACTAACTAATATATATTAATATTAATAAATTATTACATGTGAATAACTCACAATGCCTTCAGATAAATTTTATTATTTAACATATTAATCTTCATAAATGAAGTTTTTTAAGAATATGGTATTGTATTATTCATTAACATGTTAATATAGAGTTGCTAATATTTCTCTATTTTAATCAAGTTCACTTTATTAAGGATTTGCATATCTGTAAATATTAAAATTAACACTTTTTAATGTTTTCTGTTGATTTGCCAATTTAAATAATAAATCATAAGTGAATTTTGGATTATAACTAAGTACATGATTAACTTCAAAATTAAATGAATTTTCAATCACACTTTATAAATCATCCAATTCTTCTTTTACTAAATTCAGAAATTCTTCTTCTTTATCTATATTTCCATCATGTTTTAATGCATAAAAATAAATTAATCATTTATACCATAAACACTTAAAATTAAGTCTTATTTTGATCAGTCTTTAATTTAAATAGATGTTAGCAAATCTATAATAATGCTTTCTATTCTAATTTTCTAAAATGACCATCTCTTAAAATTGTAGGAATGTTTACACTAACACCACGAACTAAGATATTCATTTATTCTTAAACTTACATATAAAAAAGGATGGATCAAATATTTTCTTAATACATTCATCATTATGTTCAGCTAAAAAGTCCATTAGTTCTGTTTTATCATTAAGATTATAGATAATTCGATGTATTTTTAAATCTCTTAATTTTTGAAAATCGTTGAAATCTTTTAAGCTATTAATTCGAACACTTAAACTAATTGCACTCTTATCAAATTCATAGATTTAGTCTCTTATAACATTTGCAGAAAACTTAAATAAACATCGATTAATAAATTTCATCTTAATTAATTTTATTATATCACGCATCATCATCATGAAAATGTAAATACTCTTAAATTATATTATAAATCTCTTCCTCATCATCTTTTCTTCCTCCTTCTTAACTTTATTATGGTTTCTTAAAGAATTTAGTAATATAATGATTATTATTGGTTGCTTTCAATTTATTTGAAATATCTTCTAAGGATTCTACTTTTTCTGGTTTCTTTGAATAAATACATTATTTCTCTAATTCTCTAATACATTATTTAATAGTAGGTTTAGGCATAACTTAATCTACTTTCCTTTTTCTATTTTTTCTATCTGGTTCTAATTATACTCCTAATTTCTCCATTAAACTGCCTTAAAATTATGAGTAAAAATAAACATACGAAATTTTGATTCTGTCATCCATTAAGTATAATTTTTAGATATTTTTGTAAAATCAGTACATTCTCTAATCAAAGTTGAATAACCAGATTCTCCATTTGTTTTTAATCTCTTTAAATAACCTTGAAATCCTTTAACTGGATTTATTCTGACTTTTCTTCTATATTCAGCAAAATTTTCATAAGGTATAACCAATTTCTTAATAATGTAAATAGAATTTATACTTTCAAGATAGCTGGTTTGATAGAATTTACAAAGGTTCTCATTTCAATATAATTTGAATGTAAAGAATATGGAACCATATAATTAATACCATCAGGATCTCTATGACTTTACATTAAAAAATCAGTATTTATACAAATAAAATTCTATTATCCTTATTCAATATATTATTAAAGTATTTATTCTCTATGACTTCTTTTAATTATTTCTATAAAATATTCTAAAAATTTCATATTTCCAATTACCTTTCTTATCTGTTGTAAATAAATCAATATTTTTAGTAGAACTAGCAATTAATTGATTATACTTTTCTTGAGTTACAATAATTTTAGTTTTAAAGTACTTACAAATTTCCATTACAATAGCTTCTTTTCCTAATGCACCCATAGCAATTAATACTCTTTTTTTGATATTGTTCTCAATAATTTTAATCATTTATTATGCTACAATATCAGCTGTTGGAAAGTTGAACATAGGATCACAATATGTATTATCAAATATAAGTTCATCTATTTAGATTGTCTAATTTTATGGAAATAAGATAGGATTGTCTGTTATCATACTATTATTAAATCTGAAATCTCCTGTATGTAAAATAGTTCCCATATATCCTCTAAATAAAAACATAGCTGAACCAGGAATATGATTTGCTGAAAATAGAACCACTTCAATTGTAAACTCATTATCAATCTTATCTGTTAGTTCTTAACTTAAGAGATTCAAATAATATATATGATTAAAGTCTAATGCAACAATTCTTTCTATCTTTGGAAACTTATTTAATATGAACTACTTTGTAATTTTACTACAATAAATTTTCCCATTATTCCACAAAGGAGTCATACCTTACCAATGGTCTTAATGAAAATGAGTAAGAAAATGGATAAAAGTATCAAGTTTATAATCTTTTGCTAATTCAAAATCATCAACTATGATATTTGTATTTGTTATTAATCTCATTATTTAATTTGTGTTATTACTTTATCATTCAACTATTTATATAAACATAAAATTCTAAATTACAATTACATTGTCAATTGACATAATTATTAATTTTATTATATTCATGCTTATTAGGTTATCCACAAACATTATTAAAAGAATTAGATAAACATATTGTGTTCAAGTATCTATTCTATAATATATAAGAATTCCACAAGAACTCAAATAGAAACCATATACAAAATTGATGATCTAGAAAAAGTATAATAAGAATGGATAGATTTGGCTAAATAGAAAAACAATAATGATTATGATCAAGATGATGAAATCTAAGATAAAGAAGACAAGAAAGAAGCCAAAGTTAATGAAGATTTATAAGAAAGTGAAAGTGAATCTGATGATGATGATGAACCAAAGGGTGGAAGGAAGATTCCCTTAGTTGAATTAGTCAAAGGTTTTATTCCAAGACTTTTAAGACCAAAACCTCAAGAATGACATATCTATATATTGTGTGTGATTTTTTATCAAAACTATTTATAATTCATATCAAATATTGAAGCCAATCATGAAAAATAAATTTATTAAATCCCCATTTCATTAATATCATCAACCCATACATTATTATCAGAATACCTTGATAATAATGATAATAGATTAATTATTCATTTGTGATCTCAAAATATTCAATTATTATGAATACAACAAAATAAATTGATCCCTCTATCAAAAGTGCATAAATGTATTCCATTATATAAGTTTTCCAACTTTTTTTTTCTATTCTATATCGATATATCCCACAAATAATAGAAGCAATTATAACTATTGGCATTAATACATATAAATTGTAGATAATCGCAATTGCTAATCCATAAAAAGGATATAATAATAAATATAGATATAGATGTAAATTGAATAGCTTAAATGTAATAATGATATTTTAAAGAACCAATAAGTAATAAGTAAATCTTGATATAGCACATATGTCATCATTATGTCCCTATAAGTATTTTTTACAATTCCAACAAAAAGAGATTTAACATTATTTACATGTCATATGTCTACAACCTCCATTCTTTAATATTTGACAATTGCATTTTGGACAACTTTCAGTTTTGATAAACTTAAAAATGATTGTAAAGTTATTGTTTTTGAATTGATTCAAATATAGTTTTATTATCTTGGAATATGTTAAATATTATTTATCAACCCAGACGAATTCTTAAATAAATTAAAATATCTTACTGCATTCTCTACAAACAAAATCTTCACTACATCTATTTTTTGGTAGAAATCCATAATTATTGCAATTTGGACAAGGTCGTATATCTTAAGTTTATAATAAGTATTTTTTTAACATAATCTCTTAATACCTATTCAATATTTTCTATGAAGTAATTGATTAATGAAATTTTTCCATATTTATTTCTTCTTTACATTTGTAATTTAAGCATCTAAATGAGTTTGTATTTTATTTTTATTTAATTTATTCTTGAATCCAATTCAATGCACAAGTATAACAATATGAACATGAACAATTCTTTAGTTCAAATAAGCAAGGTTGATTTTTCATACAAATTGGACAAAACATATTATTATTATGTTTTTGTTAATTAATTCATTATGATTTCGACACATATATCTGATCAAATTTGATATAAATAATTATAATTTTAAACTATTATTTAACAAATTATTTATTTTCTGTATTATTATATTTTAAGAACTTATATTATATTAATTATATAATAATAATTCACTAACATTTCTCTTTTTAATATTTAAAACTACTCAAATAAATAATATGTTATAAAATCAAGAATATTATATATATATATATACAATATAGTATATACATATATATTATAATAATATTTAATCAAAATTGAATATAATTATTTTAATATTAAGAATGCAATTTAACTTTTTAATCTCAAAATGTATGTCAGTTAATGAAAATGGAATGACAATTTTGAATGGATCATAATTACGCAATCCATAACTTGATGAAGTTATTACAACAATGGGTGAAGCATCTGCAAAGGTATTTGATATCAATTTATACTAGGCATAAAATTTGAAATAAGTTATAACAAGTCCATCAAGATTTTATTAAACTGATTAAAAATTGTATATTAAATCAGAAGGAAAAGTACAAATACAAATTAATGTAATTAGCAATGCTTAGGAATACTAAAGATTGGAAAAAAGAATTTATTTCACAGAGATTTAAGTGGATTAGTTAGAGAAATATAACCTTTATGTGTACTAGATTTCTATGTACATGAATCAATGTAAAGAAGAGGAATTGGTAAAGAATTATTTGAAGAAATGTTGAGATGTGAAATTATTTACCCAGAAAAATTAGCATATGACAGACCATCTCCAAAATTATTAGGTTTTCTTAAGAAACATTATCATCTATCAAATTATATACCTTAAAATAACAATTTTGTTATCTTTTCATAATATTTTGATAATAGATAGTAGAATGTTAATTTATAACTGGCATCTTAAAATTAATAATCTTAATATTCATCAACACCCTCTAAAATTGAATAATTAGGAACTTTGATGTCTTAAATGACAATCTCATCAACATAATCAAAGAATTAACAATAATAGTTTAGTAAATCTTAAGCTCCATGGGCTACAGATTAAAAATCATAATAAAATGTATAAAATTTAGCATATCAATTAGATGTATGAAACAACAACTGGACTTATGTCAGCTTAAATCTAGAAAAAAAGATGAAATATAAATACTAATAAAATTATTCTATATTAAAAATTCAAATTAAATTATATAACGATGTTTTTAACAATAATCATAAATCTTTAGCTTATTTCATCCATTATTCTTTCAAATAGAAGTTTGCAGTTTGCTTCTCAACTCCAAAATAAAATAACCCATTTGGAACTGAATTTAAATCATCAAAAGTTTAATTTAAATACTTTTATGTCATTTTTAAAGGAGGAGGTGAAGTATACAAATAAAATTCAAGGTTACTATTTTCTAACATCTAAAAATAACCTATAATTTCTATATTCTTACATCCTTTATCATATCATATAAGACTTATAAAGTCTCAAGAGGACTAAAAATGGCCTAAACAATCACACTGTTTGGAAATTAAACTCTTATATCTGTTTTGGAGAATATAGGTTTACTAAGAAGTTCTTCATATTCCTTCTTTCGTTTAGAAGCAAATTGTTATTCTTCTAGTGACTATTCAAGAATTAATTATTTAAATTACCTAAGCAACTTATTAAAGAAATTGTAAAAGTTATTAATCTTTCTAAGGCTATACTTCTTCATAATCATCTTATCCTTAAATTTGCTATTATAATTGTACAGGTGATTGTTAATTCCTACCAATAAATACTTTGATTTCTCTATTAATAATGGGTTAATTCATAATTTCCTATAATAGCTATAAAAAATATTACAAATCTTTTCTAATGCAATTACTCAAGCTTCTAAGAGAATGAATAAACATCATAACCTTCTCTTCTAGCTAATTCAGAAGTTATCGAAACATTTTATGAGGATGAATGAATTGCTGGTTTCTATGGATTAAATCCTGATTTCTTTTAAGTATAGTTAATCAATTCTTCTCCAGCCTCTTTCCATTCATTTTATTGTTCCATTTTATATTCAACATACAAATATTCTCCTCCAATCTTCCAACCCAAATTCTTTAAATAATTTAATGCTGATGGGTATTTTAGTATGTTATTTTAAAGAGTTTTTGAACTGATGTTTATTTTTTATTTATCTAAACTTAATGGATTCATAATAACATTAGAAATTATTTTAAAAAGTATTTCTAATGTTTTAAAAAGTTAATCCTAATCTGGGATTTCTGAAATTATTTTAGTTAATTCTAATTGCCAATTTGATTTCTTATCTTCAGGTCTTTGAACAAACTCAATTAATAATTGACCAATTCTCTTAGGAATTTTAAATTCTTCAAAATTCTCTTATTTCATCATTTTAATTGAGTCTTTTGTATCATACCAATTTTCCTCAAGTCTAAAGATAATAAATTGATTTACATCTCAATATATGGTTCTACCAAAGATGTTGGCTTTCCCATTTCAAAGGCAATCTGCTATAGAGCCTATCTTACATAAGAATTAGATTTTTATTACATTTAGATAATAATAATTTCAAGAAATAATAATATAAATCAAATATATGTCATTATTAATTCATAGATATAATTAATTGCTAATATACCTAATAAAGCAAAATTAAAGTCTTTTAATTCCTATCTATAATGAAGATAAGTTGATCCCATTAAAAAATATACTAATTTAGATTGAAATAATTCTGTCAAATTAAAAATGTTTAATAAAATTAACACACCAAGAGCAATTGCACTAAAATTTATTTATGAATGAAAATATTAAACACTAATTATCACTGGAATTTTCCAAATTAATAATACCAGCCCATTTAATCCAAAAGTATAAAATAAAAATAAACCAATTATTACTAGACATACAAATTTATAATTAATTTTAGTTATATAACTTAAGATGAAAATGCCAATTGATAATTCTAATAAAAACCCTATAAATGACTTCCAAAATGTTATTTACAAAAAAACATTTGTAAACCATAAGATAAAACCCTCGATTATCAATAATAAAATTGATCCCCCAAAAACTAAAAGATTATCTTTAATAGAATTATTCTTGCTTTTCAGATTATATATTGAGTTGAAAAATAGAAATATACCTACCAAAGTTCCAATAACTAAGACATGTAAAATAAAAAATTCGAATATCCATAATAATGGATAAAATATATAAATTACATATTTTAATATTCCAATTTGATATAAGATATTTATTAGGAGATTTAAAAGTTATCCTGATAATATTATATATTAAAGGGAACATTAGGTTTCTATATGTTTGTCCCATTATTTTTTACAATACCAACAAAATTAATGATTACATAACTTACATGTCATATGTTTACAACCTCCAATTCGCTATATGAAAACTCCACAATTAGGACACTCATTAGCTCTAGTCAGGCAATACAAAAATTGTTGGGTGATCTCATATAATTTTTTTATCATGTATTTCTTCTTAAAAGTAAAATGAGGTTAGTTAAAATCTCTCCATTTAAAACCACATTCCAAACATTCTAATTCTTCATTACATTTATTTGATAATTCAATAAACCCATAAAATTTACATTTGCCACTTGGACATGGTCGTATATCTTGATTCTTTAGATATTCCTTCAATAAGATTTCTTAGTAAATCCTCTCATAAGGTTAATAAGAACAATAACTTAAGATTTCATCCCTACTATAAGTATAATGACAATCTTTATTTGGACACTTTATTATTTCAATTCTTTTATCTTTGTTTTTCTCCTCAAACCAATTAAGTAAGCATAGCAAACATATTTGACAACGACATTTTGTTGTAAACTGAGTTTTCTCTGTACAAATGATACAATTAAACTTATAAAACATTATATATTGAATTAAACAGGATTGATTAATCAGATTCATTCTAATTTTATCTATTTAAATGATTAAACATCTTCAAATTATAGTTAATTTATCATTCTATTTTAATCTATTAAAATTATTCATTATTTCTACTTTATTATGTAAGATTCAACAATATTATATAATATTATAATAATATATTCACTATTATAAATTATTTAACACATATTTCCATAATCATTATTACATTAATAGTGGTTATTCATCAATCAAAATTTTAATATATTCAACCCACTTATTTTTTTAACTCTCTGATTTGCATAAAGCATTTAATGTTTTTGGTTTCACATTCTTTTATGCAAATAATGTAAAACATCTATCAGCTTCAATAACTAAAATAAATTTTATTAATCATTCATACCTTTATGTTTCATTTTATGGATTTATTTAACCAACCAATTTTGATTTTCAAATGCACTAGATGATAATGATTTTTTATCATAATTTCCTTTAATTTCTTGAATTTAACTTAATTTTAATATCCATTTTTATTTAACCAATTTTGTACTTTCTTATCTACATCTTATTTATTAAAGAGTTTCATCACAAAAGAATCTATAATAACCTCGACTACCATCTTCTTTATACATTTTTAGAATTTCTCCTTTTTATAAAAAGTTTTTGATTTCATCAGTTAATTTGGATATTTATTTTTTAGGTCCTTATAAAAATTTGATTAATTCATTTAAGACTGGTTCATTAAGTTTTTCTAATTAATTTAAAAATTATTCAGCTATATTCTATCTATATTCTTCTAATGATTTTGCAACATCAAGTATAATTGTAGCTAACTAAATTGAAAAAGGATAAGATTTACATTCATCAGAACTTCTTTTTCTTTTGTAACTAAGACTTCTGCTACACAAGCATCAATTCCTTTATTTACAAATATTTAATTAGGATAGACCTTTGATTCTCTGGATAAAATAATCTAAGATGAAATTGCTAAACTCTTACACTAATTGTTTTTGTATGTTTGTGATTATTCTTCTATATCAATTCAATTAATGTAGGTATAAAAGTTTCATTGTCATCCACTTATTCCACAATTAATAATGTTTTATCTATTTATAATTCAGTAACTTCATTTTACTAAATAAATATCATCAATTAATTAGCTAGTTCATTAGTTTTATTAAATAATTTTAAACTATAGTCTAAAATTTAATCATATAATTTCTTATCATTCTTATTCACTCTCAATATTTCTGAAAAATCTAGACCAACATTTAATTATTCAAATTTTGATATTGATTCTTTATTAATAGCTGCCATTTTAAGCATAACATCAAGTGTGAGAACACAAGAACTTTATTCTGCTTTTTTCAAAATATTGGCAATCTAAGTAAATCCATTTAATTGATCAATAAATTGATAACAATTAGCTAAAATCTATCTAATAAGACGAAGTGCTTATTATTCAAGTTTATCAAATTATAAACATCTAAATTTGATATAATAATTACATTAATGTGCATTCAACAGTTTATATATCAATTGGAACATTTACTTAAGCAGCTATTTTTAATTCTAAATTAAGTAATAATAAAATAGAATCTACTTCTTTTTAATGCTTTTTTATGAATTCATTAATAATTTCTAATAATTTTTATTCAATCATCTTTTATATATTTTATGTATATGAAGCTAAATGAAATAAAGTATTTACACATTATTCAAAAGACTTTTATTTATAATTTTAAATATTCTTCTTTAAAATCTTAATCAAATATTCTATTTTCATTTATTTTTTAATCTCTTCATTTTTATAACACATATTATTTATTAAAGTCAATAAAGATTCTTCTAAATCATCTAAAATTTAAGATTGCAAAATTTCATCTAAAATTTTACTTTCCATTACAGTAGTTCCATTATCTGCATTTCTATAAACTACTTTTGCTAACGCTTCAATTGCTGGTTACACAATTTCAAGAGTATTAGGATTTTATTTTATTTATTCAATTAATTATTGAATTATTCCTAATTCAGCAATTTTATCTTAATAAGATTCAGAAACTGATAATTATGATATCATTTCATCACATTTCTTAATAATTTCAATATTATTTTAATATTTAGTAAGTAAATCCTTTTATAAATCTATTCCATTTGAATCCCCTATTGTACTTAAAATCATTTCATCTTGACATAACTTTTTTAATGCATCTAAACCTGCTTCAACTACTTTTGGATTATCAGCTTAATGTTATATTAAATTAACCATTGAAACTGGTCCCTCAGTCTATGCAAATTCACTTAATGTTTCAGGAACTTGAGATATTTAACCTGCTGTCTCCAATACTTACTCAGCATATTTAGAATCCTAATTTTTCAATTCATCAATAGTATTTTAATATAATTTAGAGTTTGGTTATAACACCTATTCTGCTATATCTTGATGTTTAGTCAATCTTCTAAACACCTCCCAAGAATCCTCTATTTAAAACAATCTTTCCAACATTCCTTCATCTATTATCTATTATGGATTCTTAACTGCTAATTCTAAACAATCCTTAATTAACTATTAATTCTATTCAGGTTATTGGAATTATTGAATCATTTATTAACTCTCATTAATATTCTCTTTATCTTAACTTTATTCTAATTTTTATTATTTCTCTTATTCCTCTTTTTCTTATCTTAATTACATTAATAACTGTTTTTATTATAATAATGATTATCTTTATTACAATAATGATTATCTTTATTTTAACAATGATTATCTAGGTATCACAGGTTATTTAGGTTTGAAATGTTGATGCAATTTCTGACATTAATCAGGATAATCATTCTACCACTAATTTATAAGTTATTAACCATTTTATTTTAAAAATTCTTGTTTTATTTCTTCATTTTCAAATAGAATATCAAGAGAAGTTAATATTTCTAATGGAAATTAATTTTATTTCAAATAATCCAAAAAATAACTTAAAGGAATTGATTAACTAAATTTAGCTAAATTTGCTAATATTTTAAATGCAAACATAGAATGAGCACTATTTTATTTAATAATTAATTAACATAATTCTCTACCCTTTTCTCTTTAAATCCTAAGAGCAACAGGTTCAGATTATGATAAATTTTCTAACCATGCTAGATTCTTTTTTGCTTATTCTTCATTACTTTATTCAATTACTAATTCTTAAGTTTATAATATTAATTTCTATATAAATCTTTTATCTCCTAAAATTTTACTAATATCTTTAGACTTTAAACAAGATCTGTACAATATATCATATAAATTTGCAACTACAAACTTATTATTCTAATATTCTTCCAACAAATCCCTAATATAGAGTGATAATTTTACAAAATAAATTAAAGATAATCTGTCTAAATTATTGCTTCCCCTTTAGAAAGATAAAATGTCAACAAATTTACTGGATTTTCACTATGTCTTTTTTGTTATAAAAATTAAAAGCACTTTTCCAATTCTATTGGTTCAATATAATTATTTATCAACATTTAAGTTAATATATTAATTGATGAACATAACAAACGATCATTATCTAAATTATTATCATATTTATTACTCTTTTCTAATTCACAATATTTTAAAACATTAACTAAAGCATCAAGTATATTGCAATCAAATTCATATTCTAAGGCTTATGGAATTGTTGAATAAACACTTAATTTATCCATATATTCAGAACCTATTTCAGGATCCTCCATTTCTTCAAAATAATTAATCATTTATTTAATTTATTTCTTAATCTCCTCTGTTAGAAAGGAATCCCCTTCATATTTTTATACTGTATCAATATATGGGATAACTTAATTGATTACTTCAATATCATATTAATGCTGTAATTAAAATAGTGTAACATATTTAAGTGCATTATCTGTATAATTAATATCTGATAATATTTAAATAGTCTCTAATCCCATTTCTTTAGTTGTTGTGTCTTCAGGTAACTTTCTACACAGAATTTTTGGGAGATCTCTTACATTCTATTTAAATAGTTCAAAAAGTAAATAAATCTTAATGACATCTAATATTTTTAACTAAATTCTTTCTTTTTGAACATATTTTTTCATCAAGATTTATAATTAACTTATTAATTGAATAACATATTGATTATCTTGAATATCTAATAAATAGTGTTATTTTTTATTGGTATTCTTGCAACCTTAACCCATAAATAGAATAGTGTCTAGACTAGAATCCATAAGTTCTTCATTTTCAAGTGATTAAAATAGAAAGTCAAAACATAACTGAGATGTTTTCTTTTGAGTATATAATGTACCAGTTTTATCATTCCAATATAAAGTTGACATAGTCTATAACAAGAGAAATATGCATTAAACAATATCTATCATCTCAGCTTTATAAGATTTTAAAAATTTCAATAAGTAATTCATTAATTCTGTGAAATAATCATTTTACAAGTAAAAAGTTCCTTCAATTTAAACATAATATGAAAGTTTTAGCAATTATATTTCAAGCATAACCTAAGATAATTCATCATTATATTTATTTCCTATGATTTCTTTCTACAATACTTTTACATCATCTTATTTTGTTAGATTTCTAACTAAAATAATAAATTATTATTCTAATTCTTCATTCTACTAAAATTCTATTGCAACTTCTTCTGGATCATCTTCCTCAGCTTCAGAATCAGTTTTTACTTGTTTTAAAGTACTAACAATGCTTATATAATCTAAAAGTAACTTATCAATTAATACCTTTATTCTTTTTACATGATAAGATAGAAATCATCAAATTTGATTTTAATTAAGCTACCTATTCTGGATATTTATTTAAAATTTAAATGTAATATAATAATGATCTTTTCCAAAGATAATGTTTTTAAATAAATTGAACAATGACAGAAAGTTTTTTTATTAAATACTCTTTGATTTCTTGATGGATTAGTAATAATAATTTTGAATTATACTCTTAAGATGTTTGATTATTAACATTTTCAATAATTTTAAAAAAAGCTTCTTTCCCTTTAGAAATAGCTTTAAAAGTTTTGTCATTCTTACTAGCATAAGTCAATAATAATCTTAGTCCATCTTTGACTCCTTTTAATTATGCTAATTAGGCAATAACTTTTTCAATTATTTTATTAAGTTCTTCAATAGTAAGATTAGTTCCAAGTTTTCTACTAAGATCAAATGATGCAGCTACAACTTCAGCATCTTCATTTTCATATAATTCCATCATAAGAGGCAAAAATTATTTTAATTTAACAGCCTAACAATTAAAAAAGATATATATACATAATCTTAATCTTAATCATAGAGTCTACTCAAACAATTAAGAGCATCTCTTAGTATTGGTTTTCTTTTAATTATTTTTTTATATCCTTTGATTAACTCAAATAATATATTAATTAGTTCATCCAAATTGATTTAATTATGTATAGCTGGTATCAAACAAGCTATAAGACTCATGGAGAATTCAGCTTATTAATCAACTGATTTGATTGATTAAATACTTTATTATACTTATTCTATGTTTATGATACTTTATAGAATTTGAGCTCCTTTATCATTTACATCAATCTATATACAAATTAGAAATTTACATCATTATGTTAGATTAAAATCTCACTCATTATTTTTAATGGTATTGATTGTTTCTATTTTATTATTTTTAATGCATTCTAATTATTCACCAAAAGCAATAGAATTCTTAAAGATTCTTTTATGACAAATATATTATCTATATACTCTTGCATCAATTAAATATAAATTGTTAGAAGTTCGTGTATATTGATATTTTCAATTATACATTCCTATACTATTTTCATAGATTAAAAAATCTACTTAGCATTTTATATTCCAAATCAAATATTCTTTTCATTTCTAAAATTAAAGGTTTAGAAACTATTAAAATTTATACGAATCCAACTAAAATATTGGATTTTGCAAGTGAATCCGTTTGAAGCTATGTAAAAGTTAGATTTTAATAAAGATCTAGTGTTGACTACAATAGTGAACAATATTACTTTGATAGCTTCCTATGATAATTATCTATTAGTTATTGATGAAATGACATGACTAAGATTACTATCAATAATATTCCTAGCTATAAATTCATCTCTAAATTTATGTAAACCAATCATTCTATTCAAACAACCACAAACATTCTAAATGACTTGATCACTCTATCTATGATTATCGATACACTGAATTAGAATAGAATATCCCTCTTTAAGATCATTATACCATTACCTTTGAAAATGTAGATCGAATTATCTCGATGTTTGTTGTTGGGTAAATACATTTGTGAAAAGAGGCAATTTAATGAAAATGATATTAGCTTCTAGAAATAAGGATTCATTTTTATAGATTGAAGCAAAGAAACCGTTGTGGCATCTGGTTTATCGTAAAATTTCTCTTTCAATTTCATTATCTTCTTCAATGAATTTAATATTTATATATAAATGAGTCTTAATTTATTTTATGTAAAATTCAATTACAAACACAAACAAACAATATGTCCTAACATCATTATCTGAAAAGTTTTGAATATCTGGATTATGATTAAAATAAAGCCAGAATTTATCTATCCACATCAACTTCGGCTAAATCTTTTGCTGTCAATTTATCCTCATTTTCAATATCAATATCAGCTCCATTCAAACATAATAATTTGCAAATCTCAATGTTTTTCTTTTCAACAGCCAAATGTAAGGGAGTATTCCCAAATTTATCTTTAACATTAGTCAATGCCCCACTTTCCTATGAATATATCAAAATAAATATTTACAAGCAATAAACTAGTGCATTCTAATGAATTTGAATTAACACTAAAATGAAGAGGAACTGCATTACTTACAGGATCTCTTAAATTCACTAATGCTTTGTTACTTTTGATAATTTCATTTAAAATAAATGTGTTTTCGAGCATAGATGCATAATGAACAATGTGTGGAGATTGTGAATTTCTCTAAATTCCTTAATAATATTTAAAGAGAATCTTAAATGCATCCAATTAACCAAACAAGACTGATTCGTGTATAGGTTGATGATGCTCTGTATTCTCAACATTAACATTGCATTTCAAATGCAATAATCTCTCTATTATTTCACAATGTCCTTGCATTGATGCCAAATGTAAAGGAGTATCCCCTCTTTCATTTTATTATTCATAATTTACACCTTTCTCTATGCAATAATTTAATGCTTAGATTTTATTAAAGAATGCACAAACATGAGCAATATTATTACCATCTTTATGAGATTAATGTATATTCGCTCCATTTTCAATGAGCAATTCACTAGTTTCTCTGACATCATTTAATACAGAAAATGTCAATGGGAAAAACTTATTTGGATTTTCATCATCTCCCAAAATTTCTTCTTTTATTGGATTTTTATCTAATATTTATTTTATCAAATCATTATTCTACTCTGATATAAGAAAAAACAATAATTTATGTTGATTAATTTGGATATACTTATAGGAATTCCAATATTAACATTAGGAAATGATCTTCTTGTATTACTGTTTCTCATATGCTTTGAGTGCCTAATTTATACTGTGATTTATACTTATTTAGATTTATGAATTGAATAGCTATCAATAAGGAATTACTTTCCATTAGCAATTAGATTTTATATTCTCTTCATTAATTTATAAATATATTATTTTTGTTTATTGCTATTTATGAAAAATATTCACTCAAACACCAATTACTTTATATAATTAATCTTTCTTCAAGTCATTATGTATCCAAACCACATGTAGATTCGGGTATAATTCAGATATTCGTTTAATCCTAACATATCTTTAAAGAAAAGTCCTCATAGTTTGATTCTCGAAATCTTCAGATTAGAGAAATAGATACACTTAATCTCCAATTTTTAGATCGATTAAATTCCCATCCTCAAAAAAAAAGTCCTAATATTGAATTCTCAAATCTGAGGCAAAATAATCTAATGGCAAATCCGAGTTAAAAACTTTACCTTTTAAGAAATTTGCTACATCAGGATAATATATCCCTAAATCTGACAGCAATAATTTCATTTAAAATATGTGTGGACCTATTTTTTGAAATTCTTATTTTTAGGTTTGTAAAAAATAGTTTAATCTTGATAAAACTTCCTTTTCTTCTACCAAAGGCCATTTCTTTATTTGTTGTATGACTAATGTGTATGCTAATGGGATTGCATCATAAATTGGAATTTGGCTTTCATATAAACATTCAACATAATGTTTATTAATAAGATTAGGATTGCCAACGATCAAAGAACATGCTAATCCTTCTAATGATTTTTTCAAATTTATTCTCCAATTTTTAATACCAGGCTCATAAGAGAAATTTCTTATAAATTATGCTTAGTCAATATTTTGTTCCATATATTTAATCACTTGTTTACTCTCCTCTAATTACTAATTAAATAAGCTTGACATTAGGAATGGACCAAATTTCTTAATAATAGAAGTGGGTGAATCCAATTATTCAGAGTGATTCAACAGACTCTATAGATTATGTTTTAAGAATGAAAATTTCATTATTAATATTAAATTATTATCATAAGGTTATTTTCTTGTAATTGTTCTTAGATGTATTGTTATCAAAAAAATCATCTAATAAAATAATGACAGTATTTTCAAGTAAAAATTTAAAATTTGCTTGAAATAACTTATTTCTTTTTAGTTTTTATAATAAATATAAATGAAAACCATCGGAAAATTAATTTATGAACAATTGAAAAAAAAATACGACAATGTCAAAAATAATAGGAAGCAAACCAGATTTCATTATTAAGTATTGAATCTATATAAATTATATTAGATGGAAATCGATTGTGGGGAAGTCGTAAATATTAAGGGAGTGAAACAATATGAATTAAGTAATAAGATCAATACGGGTTATTTTGATTTCAAGACCTTGCTTTTCTTTTTATTTTTCAAATAGTTTGAGAGAATCGGAGTCCTAATATATTATATTGTTATGATTCTTCATTTTAGTTACCTTTAAATTAAGTAAACAATGCGTTGAATATTAAGTCCTGAAGACTTGGTTGTGTACATCTTGCCATTATCAATGCATTACATCCTGTAAGTAGTTAAGGCATTCTATTTTGACTACTTAAAAATGGAATATGATAAGAGGACAAATCAAAGAGGTATAACAAGATATAGAAGATTGAGAAAGGAAATTGCCTCTGGAAATAAGCCTTAATAAAATTAATAATAGATTGATTTTTTTTTAAATTCAAAAGAACCCTAAGTAACAATTACTAAACTAGAGATGTAGAAAAAACCTCATTCAGTTTAATCTGTTAAAAGAAGAGAAAAATTAATGCTTTATGAGAATATTAATTGGGAATAACTAGAAGTAGGTGATTTAGTTTATTTAAAACGAAACGAAATTTCACCAGCCGATATATTAATTATAGATGTTTCTGATAATATAGTTGGAGTATCCTCTTAATAATTAGATGGAAAAACAACAGAAGAAAGTCGGTAACCTACTTAATTGACAATGCTCAAAAACGGTAAATACAAAGCATCAGGATTTGATTATAAAAAAATTTTGACAGGTTAAATATAATTTGATAAAGATAAAAATGAAAACATTTACGGATATATTAAATTAAAAAAAGACCCAAAAGGAGAGAATTTTAATTGTAATAATATCATTCGAAGAGAGGAACAATTGAGGACATGCTAATATTTAATAGGACTAGTACTATTTGCAGGATAGAATTGCATTTGTTATGATAAATTGAAACAAGCAGAAAAGAAATCATTCTTTGTTTAAAAGTCACGAATGTTCTTTGCTTTAACATTAACTATTAGCATTATAATAACATTTATTAGTTGGTTAATAGCATCTTTTGGAGTTTGTTAGAGTTCTTAAAATGAAACAATCTTTGATTCTACTACTCTTATATTTTATATGATTTAATATTTAAAGACTACTCCGATATACTTTTATAATTGTGTTGACATTATAGAAATGGGATATGCTCATTATAAATACATTAAATTTAATCAGTGTAAATCATCTGAGATGAGAATCAAAGTTGGCAATAGTATCGGAGGACTTAACTTACAAAATACACAACCATAAATAAACTATGAATAATTGAATTCAGTTTCAATTGGCGACCTAGTTATGACTGAATATGTATGTTTTGATAAGACTGGAACATTAACTACAGGGGAATTTCGAGTTAGATCCATAATTATAGAAGATATGATGTATAAATTTGGGTAGAAAAAGATATAAAATGGTTGGTAACTCTTCAAAGAAAATTTCAAATAATAATTAAAATAAAATCCTAATTTTAGAATTCAAGAATAAGAAGAATATTCTGATGAATAAATTGCTCTTGAATAATAATCGAAAAGTAGAAGTAATGGCTTCAAAAATACAGTGTCAGGTCTATCAAAGTCATTAGGAAAATAACAAACTTAAAAGTTTCGATCCACATTATTACATTAATCTCATTTAAATGATGAAAATAACTTTAATAATAAAATATCAACTTTTTAACCATTATAGTAATCAGCCATATTAAGTAAATCTGAATTGGAGAGCGCAAATGTTAAAAATTCTGAAGGAAACAATACTGAATTGATTGGTCAACATATAATTGAAAATATTCGACCTGAAGATCTGGATGATACTCATTGTAGAATTACACCTGATTTGAAGGCAAATAGACCCAAACCATTCTTTAACAAGTCAATCATTGTTAACTAGTCAATATCAATCTAATAATCTCCTTCCTCTAGTCCATTTGAGGAAATACAACTGATGCCATAAGAAGATAAGTAATCTGTAACAAGCGATAGATAAAAAAAACCAAGAAGTGATAGCGATGCCACAAAAAAGGATGAGCACAGACATGTAAAAAAGTAATCATCTTTTGTGAACAGAAATAATAATAATAAAGCTACCTTATAATATTATTAAATGGATGAAGACACATATGATATAGCATTTTAGAAAGATTAAGAATTCTATTAGAAACTTGTTTGTGGTCCATCATAAATATTTTATTAAGAAGCAATTCTCTCTCTACTTTTATGTTAAGAGATTGCATCGAAGTTTACTTAATATGATGATTAATTTATTCATGATTCAACATAATCTACTTTAGATTAAGAATTGATGAGATTTGCTTAATATTTTGATGTTAAATTTGTTTGTACTAATGAAACAGGCGGAAAGATTACTTACATCATAGACTTATTAGGTGAAATGCATGAATTTTAAATTCTATCTATTAATGAACAATGTTAAAATCATCCTCGATTAGGAGTGCTAATATAATATCCAGATAAATTGGCAGAACAATTTCAATTTTTTATAAACGAGTCAGAAGAAGAAACTGATTTTATTAATTGTGTATTAATAGTTAGAGAAGAACATAATCAAATACCATCAT